ACGTGCACAAACGTCATGAGATGTAGGAGTAATATTCTAAATGTGAAGGAGTCCAAATGATTAAGTGACAAGCATGAGATGATCTAGGTATAATTTGTCAATTTAATTTTAGGTGTACATTGGTACAAATTTTTATTTTTAAGGATGCAAATTGAGATTTTTTATTTTTGGAGGTGCACATTGATACAAATTTCTTTTTTTGAGGGTGCAAATTGAGATTCAAACGATCTTTCAAGGTACAATTTGTAATTAACCCTTAAAAAAATTAAAATAGTAATATCACGATGTAATTAACACGAACCCGCCTCGAACCGAACCCGAAAATAACAAAATTAGTTGACACGAGTAATAAATAGGTCAAATTAACGTTTGACATGAATAACAAAATTAATAGGTACCATAGATAGAAAATAATTATTTAAAAAGTATTGTAGGTAGAAAATAAGAATTTTATAATTTTTTAAATAGTATTATATTAATTGTTATCAAATTAAATAATTTTTTATTAACACGAATATTGACACAAACCCGACACGTACCGAAAGAAATACGTTACGAAAATATCACGAGCGAAGGTGACACGACACGAATATGATATGACACGATACGATTGACACCCCTATATTATTATCAATTAAAAATATTAAAATAAATAATAATATCAAAACAAATATTAAAATAAATAATAATATCAAAACAAATAAGTAAATGGTGCCACTAAAATTAATACCTAAATAAATAACTAATTACTCTTCTTTCATGTAAACAAATAATTACGGGCTCTTTTGGAAACGTTTTCAATTTTGGTTTTTTATAAAAATAAAAAACAGAGTCAGTTTTAAATTTTCGTTAGCAAAAAATGAAAACATAAAACGTGTATTGTTGCTTTTATAGTTGTAAAAAAAATTAAAAATAAAAACAGAAAACTCGTTTGGTTGTAACACTTGTATTTTTTTTTTTAGTAGCAACATTTACAAATAGGAGTCGTTCATGATGTAAAGAAGTAATAGTTATGAATATTTCATTTTCGATTATGAAATGGTCCAAAGGAAGGTATCTTACATTGGTTGTAATTTTTGTTTAAGAAGTTCATTTTCTTTTCATTTGTCTTTTATCATTATGGATCTTAGGCTTATGGGTTTAGTTCCCTTTCTTTCTTATGTATATTTTTACTTGAGTTTGATTCTTAGTATTCTTTGACACAATTTTTTAGCACCTTTGGGAGGAACTCCATGAATTGTTCAATTAAGATGTAAAAATTATTCTCGAAATATTGTTACAGTGAACACATTGGTGAGTTTGATCAAAAATCAGAAAATGGGTATTACAAGAAAATAGATTTTGAGCAAGGGCCAAATTGGAGTCAAGGAACTTCCTCTGTTGATTTACTGAGTTTGAGCCGCCCACCTTTGTTAGGGCAGAAAGTTGCTTACCAGTAATAAGGACCTCCCCTCTGTTTAATTCATAAAACATATAATTTTCTTAGTATTGTAGTCCTAATAGCTTGGTGATTTTTTTTTTCTTAATGCCTGAAGTAAGTGTCAAACCTCAGATCTATAGGGACTAAAACAGTTGTTATATTTTCGTTGTTAAGACTCATGTTTAAGATCAACTCCCACTATAATGATTGAGTGGTCATTCAGAATGCATTAAAGCTAATGCTTTGAGGTTTGTTTTGTGGGACATTACAAAAGGAACATGTTTGAAGGGTCCAACTTTGAGGCTCTGTATTGAAGTGTGGTCTAGACTAGAGTTCAGTTTGGTATTAAAACCTTATATATGATGCTTTTTCTGTATTAAAGTTTGGATTTTGTGTTAGTTTGGGTAGGAATCTCTTTCTATTTAATTGTTTCAATATCTCTCTTAATTGCTGTTGATATCCCATGTAGAAAACATTTTTTGGTCAATCCTCAAAGAATATTGAATTTAGCATTCTTTGTTGATTTCCGTCTTATACAAATAGTTTTTCTAATTGCACGTAACCCTTATAGTCTTTTAGGATTGGATCCACATCTCTTATCGTTCATTGTCAATGATAAATTATTTAATGTATTGGTGACTCTTATATATATATATATATTAGTTATTATCTCTGCCCGAAAGCGCAGAGTAATAAAAAATAGTAATAAATAAACATATTTGTATTCATATCAAAAATAAAATCACAAACATAGAAGAGAGATAAATGATTTTAATTATCGGTTGTAATGGGGGTAAGAGGTGGTGGGCGACAGTGATTGTGATAGGAGACAGTGATGGCTGTGGTGGGTGGCAGTGATCGTGGTGGCGGTAGGAGACGGTGATGGTTATGATAAGTGACAATGACCGTGGCGGCGGCGGTGGTGGCGACGACTGCGGCAGTGGTGGCGGAGGCGAGCGGTGGTGGCGACGGTGGTGGCAGCAATGGTGGTGATGGCGGTGGAGGTGACAGTGGTGGAGCGATTTCAAACATTATTTTTTTAAAAATATTTATAAAAAATAATTTTTGAAAGTACTTTTAAAAAGTCACTACAAACATACCCTTAGATACCTATTTTTTCTATTAAATTTAGGGTGTTAATATTAGCTGTTAGATTAACTTTAAAGTTAAATTTAAAACGATCTCGACTACGAATAACAAAAGTCATTTTGTTTATCTTTTTTAGATTTAAATTGTAAGATACTTTATTATATACTAATTATTGCATGTGTCTGAAGACACAGAGTAATAAAAAATGGTACACAGTAAACATATTTGTAATTTATATCTAAAATCAAATCACAAACAAAAAAAAAATGAAAAGAATTTAAATATCGATTTGTATTGGGGGTGAGAGGTGGGTGGGCGATAGTGGTGATGGTAAAAAACGGTGATGATTGTGTTAAGTGGCAAAGACCGAGGGTGGCGGTGGTGGTGACGACGATTACGGTGATGGGCGATAGTGGCATTGGTCGTGGTGGCGGCGGCGACGACGATGGTGGGGGTGGTGGGGATGGCGGTGGAGGTGGTCGTGGTCGTGGGGTGATTTCAAACACTATTTTTTTTTAAAATAATTTTTAAATGTGCTTTTAAAAAGTCATTCCAAACACACCCTTAATGACCTATTTTTTTATTAAATTTAGGGTGTTAATATTAGCCGTTAGATTAACTTTACAGTAAAATTTAAAACGATTTCAACTGTTTATCTTTTAAGATTTGAATTGTAAACTAATTTATTTTTTATATATATATATAGTGGATATTAATTGAATGCATGACGAGTAATTTAATATTAAAACAAACTACGGGAGTAAGTATCAAAAGTGATTGAATCCCTTAGGATTGAGCTTCTTCACTTACTCAAAACAAAAATAAAAAATCTCGTTTTCCACCTTCTTGATTAACATAACAGGTCTATCGTAGAAAATGACCAATTTGTAAACTTTTTCACATTAATGTTGTGTCATGTGACTCTATTACAGTCTAAGCACACTTTTGTTTAATCTCTATTTATATAAAATTTACCTTTTATAATATATTGGATTTCTCTTTACAACAATTGCATATTTTTTTAATCTTTGTTGGTCCAAACAGCTTAAAATAGGCAAAGCTGTTCAAATGACCAATTTGTGCATGAATTGCATACTTTATTCTTTTATAAATAGTATAATCTTCCCAAGTTCTATTCATGTCTTTTGAATGATAAAAAGTACAAAAACCACTTCGTCAAACAAAAAGAAATTGGAAACTCCAATTACAACTAAGAATTATACGTGTACAACCCCCGTGTGTTTTAACTAATTTTTTCAAATGTCATTTCTTACACATAAGTCTGAAAATTGATCGGACATAAAACGAATTCTAACTAATTTGAATATGTATTTGATTTCAAAAGTCTGATATAGTAATTTGATTAATTTTATTTTCGCTGTTCATATTTAAATTCATTAACAATCTAAAATTCGAATAGAAATCTGATTCAATTCGCATAACTTAATTAATTAATTGTTATTTTAAAAAGGTAATATGAAGGCGTAATATATCACAATTTTTAAATTAGTAATATATTTTTGTTAAATATTAAAATTCATTACTAATCTAATATTTATAACATATTAAATTCTCAAATTAAATATCACTAACATTATTCCAAATTCCAACTCACATGCATGTATCCATAAGAATATCTTTAATCATTATCCTAATTGTTACTTAAATTTAAATTAGAATAAAAACAGGCTAAAAATAATTTTCAACTCTTTACTCAAATTTATACTAAATGAAGAGAGGCTTGATCATGTTTGGTTTGTATCTCAGATACTATTTTCTGATTTTAAAATAATTTCTAGAAAAAAGTTATTTGTTCAGTTAGTTTTTGAAAGTTGAGAACAAAAATTGAATAAATTTACAAAACAAGTTAAAGTTATTTTTATATTTTTGGAAACAACATTTTTAAAATTTAGAAAACACTACCACCACCATTCTTCCATCACCACTACCACCAAGTCCACCACCACTACCACCACACTTCCACCATCTCCATCACACTTACATCACCACCACTACACTCCCACCACCACCACCATGTCCACAGTCCATTAGCACAACTATCACATTTTTGTTTTAATTATTTTTTGGATTATTATTTAAAAAATTTTAATTTTTTTACTTCATAAAATTATTTTTAGAATCATATAACCAAATAAATTTTGTGATATAAAAAATATCAAAAATAATTTTTTAAAACTCTTTCTAAAAAAATTTTAAATTTTATTTTTTAATACACATATCAAACGGGACTTTAATTTTTTGTTCAAATCTAGAATGATCAAATTTTACACTCCACTAAATACCTAATAGTGGATAAAAAAACACTCAACTCCCCCATTGGCCCATTCGTATCATATGTGGATAAAAATTGATTTCAAAAAATGATTGATAACAATGAGGCCATGTGTGGACAATGGCCCCACTTTGTATCTATCGTTCATCATCGTCTGCCACGTGGAAACATTTCAAAATCTGGGTCCCACCCCCTTCCTCAAAACGTCATCTGTTACACCACAATCCTCGTCGCGTCTATTTTACACCGATGCATTCCTCCGCACAGCTCTCACTGTATACTTGTGAACAACAATGAAACAACCAAAGCCTCAGAGTCTCTTCCTGTTCTTCACTTTAATCTTCACCCTGTACCACGCAACGGCGGACCATGACAACCCCAACAGTCGCACCAGCATAGTCTTTGCTACTCTGGGTCGATCCAGCTATGCCTTCGACATATTCTCTCTCCCGACATGGGACCCACCAACTGACGCCGACGAAATCCAACTCACCGACGGCTACTCCGTCAATTTTAATGGCAACTTCCCCTCAATCTCATCACCCTCCATATTCTCTCTCCTACCCAATCAAACCCTCACCACCACCCCAACTGCCACTGACCCACCACCCCTACTCCTCATCTACGTCACTGAACGCAATGGTTCATCAAACATATTCCTCGATGTAGTTTTCTACCATAGTTCTGACCGCACCAGAAAAAGATCAGTTCTTGATAATTCAGCTAATCTCCCACCTGAGTCATCTCGGATTCAAGTTCCTCTGGTGGGTGGTGGAGAGTCACACGACCGAGTTTCGATGAAAGATAGGCCGAGTTTGGTGGGTGAGTACTTGATTTACGTTTCGACTCATGAGGACTCGGGTGTGGGTCGGAGGAGTTGGGCAGCGGTGTACTCAACTCATTTGAAAACTGGGTTGATTCGGAGGTTGACGCCAAAAGGTGTTGCCGATTTTAGTCCGGCGGTGTCTCCTTCTGGGTTGTGGACCGCGGTGGCGTCGTATGGAGAACCGGGTTGGGACGGTGAGGTTGAGGAACTAGGTACGGACATTTATGTGTTTTTGACTCGGGACGGGACACACCGAGTTAAGGTGATCGAGCACGGTGGGTGGCCGAGTTGGGCTGACGATTCGGCTCTGTATTTCCATCGGAGGTGTGACGATGGTTGGTGGAGTGTTTACAGGGCCATTCTTCCTCAGAATGGGTTATTTAGCGTAGGCTCAGTATTAACTCAGCGAGTCACCCCACCGGGTCTGCACGCATTCACACCAGCTGCCTCGGTAGCCAACAAGAGTTTCATTGCAGTGGCGACGAGGCGACCCAATTCAGAGTATCGTCATGTGGAGTTATTCGACGTCGTTCTGAAACAGTTTATAGAGGTAACCCGACCTGTTTCCCCAAATGCTCACCATTTTAACCCGTTTATATCACCAAACTCTAGACGGGTCGGGTACCATAGATGTAGAGGGGCAAGCAATGGAAGGAGCAGTAATAATCTGTTACTTGAAAACCTCCAAAATCCAATACCCGAAATCTCTTTATTCAGAATTGATGGGTCGTTTCCTTCCTTCTCACAAGACGGGGGCCGGATTGCGTACGTGAAATTCCCGGGTCTTTATGTGATGAACCGGAATGGGTCGGGTATGCGGGAGGTCTTTAGTGGGGATGCCTTCTCAACTGCATGGGATCCGAAAAGGGTAGGTGTGGTCTACACCAGTGTGGGGCCCACATTTGCAAGTGAGAGCACCGAGGTTGATATAATCTCCATTAACGTTGACGATGATGAGTTAAGTTACAAAAAATTGACAGCCGGAGGCGAAAATAATGCGTTTCCGTCACCTTCGCCAGATGGAAAATGGGTCGTGTTCCGATCAGGGCGTTCGGGTCATAAGAACTTGTATATAATGGATGCTTCGGATGGAGAAAACGCTGGCCTCCACAGGCTAACGGAGGGTCAATGGAGCGACACGATGTGTAATTGGTCACCTGATGGTGATTGGATCGCTTTTGCTTCGGATAGGGACAATCCGGGTTCTGGTAGTTTTGCACTGTATATGGTTCACCCGAATGGAACAGGGTTGAGAAAGGTGGTCCAAAGCGGGTCGGGTGGTCGATGTAACCATCCATGGTTCAGCCCGGATGGGAAATATATTGTGTTTACTTCAGACTATGCCGCGGTGTCTGCTGAACCAATCTCGAACCCACATCACTATCAGCCATATGGCGATATATTTACGGTGAGATCGGACGGTTCTGAGATACAGAGATTGACCCACAATTCATATGAAGATGGAACCCCGGCTTGGGGACCCACATTCATGAAGCCTGTTGATGTTGAGTGGCCAAATGGTGGTCCACAGTGCTCATTTGAGGATTGTTATTGGCTCAACACAAGTCTAAGTCTTGGTCTTGAGGCTGCATATTTGGGTTCCAGCTCAACCAAACTCCAATGTCCTCTGTGACAAATTCGTACACTATTGCAATGTCTAATGTGCAATCACTGTACGTGTTTCTTATTACATATAGACGTTACCACTCTCTTATTTGTATATATATGTACAATATATAGATGAGCAACATATGCATGTATAAATGCTAGTAGAAAGATCTTTACTTCAGTCCTCGTTAGTCGAAGGTGCGGAGTTTGTCAAGAGTGTACTGATTGGCAGTTCGAACAAAGTGCATGTCGTCGAATTCGAGCCCACAACCTCAAAATCGTTCGACACTTTTAACAATGCACTAGAGAATGTATCTTTATTTATTGATACTAGTTAAGGAGTATGTATATATGAGCAGGGATGTACTACTTATGAATATTGTTGTTGAAATAAAAATTTTAGTGTTAACATCTCTGTTTTCACGTCTCCATTTATCAAAAGAAAATGTTATTGGTAACGTTTCTGGCAAAAGAAGAAAAGAAATTTTGATCATCGGCATTCCTTCCAAATAATAGCGCAGATACACTATTCATTGGTTTTATCCATGATACACAGCCTGAAAAAGCGAACAGATACATCAGCAGCAAGCGGGAGCACCCATGTCAACTATGTTTTCCTCTTTCCGAGAAATCATATTCCAATCATCCACCAATATTAATACAAGTTGGTCGAGTCGTATTCTACTCGACACCTTTTGAAATGATACTATTATACGATCCATATAAACACTTAATCTCGCGAGACTCAACCGAGTTGACGGAGTTGTACCTGAATTAAACGATACGGTTTCACAATACTGCGATATGACTCGAATCTCTCGTCATGGTTCACATTTTCTTTTAGGTCATATCACCAAATACCGTGTTGTGACCGATGTGTCTCAAAATCTTCCGAGTTGATGGTCGATACTGCGATCTTGAATGCTCAAAATTAATAAAAGCATATAACCACAAGATAGGAACCATGAAACTGCCCTGTAGTAAATGAAAAACTCCAAACAAAATCAATTGCTCGAGTACGCACTTGGTGAAATTATATCATTACAAACAAAAGAAAGTGAATCCACCTTACTTGGCAGCAGTCATGTACAAATTGTTGGAGTCAAAATCCATACATACGTATAAAGGATGAAAAGATACTTCTTTACATCCAAAAAAAAAAAGCTTGCAGCATATACACCTGAGTCCATCCAACATAGCATTGGAACTGGAACATAGTTACTTGGGTCATGGAAGTACTCCTGAGGTATTGAAGGAGGGTAGTTTTTCTTTGCCACAAATTTGTACTGATGCAATAGAGCATGACAAAATAGATCGGTAAACAATTGAAAGAAAATGAATAATCAAGACATTTGAATAGCTAGATTCTATTTGGGCTCCTGTTCAGTGTGGCAGCCACTACTCTTCCACTATGTTAAACCTATGAGGAATTGCCATATCAGGAAGAAATTGCAGTTGTTCAAATCCTATTATAATGTTCCGAGTGTTTATAACGTGCCACACAAATGCCAGTGTTTATTACCATCCTGCAGATCATTTTACATGAGATTTCTTGAACTTAACCAATTAGTGGAAACCCACAAGACAATTCCCTTAAATATTCTACCTACAAGAGGTGGTGGGATTTTAGGTGACTCTACAACTCCCGGGTCGACACATGGAATAATAAAGCCGTTGGGATGTTCAAAGGGCGCTGAGGAAGTAAGCCGAGGTATGGTGACATTAAGCAGCCGAGTACGACAGCTGACATCGTATTTAATACAATGTGACCCCTCATTTATGGCGGAACGAGTGAAAGTGACAAAACAAATAAATGCGAGCCTGTCAGTACCTGCCTTCTAGGAGTCTAAGCCTACTGTCATGATGGCTAAGCATTAATGGCTGATGTGCCGAGATGACGCGATCGGCTCCCCCAAGAAACTGTTCTCCCTGAGTATTCAATGTTTAGTTGATGTCGGATGTCGATGTGGGAGATTTGGGTACTCAGAGAGTGGCATGAATGCTCGACATTTGGCCGAACATTTACCCTATTTTTCTAGCATTAAATAGGAGGAGACGTGAGTAGAAAACATTCATTACATGAGGAATGATGTGTCAGATGTAAGATGTTTAGATGAGACTGGAGATCTTTGACAATCATTACTAGTTCAGGTATAAATACTCCTCAAAAAAATAAACAAAGATATGTAAACTTAAATCAGAAAAATAGTCCATTGAGCAAAACTCTTCGACTTTATACTGACTTAAGCTTCGAAAAGGATTAGCCGGGCGCTCACCTGGCCCCCTTTTTTCTAACCCTGTTGTTTCAGGTTTGCCAGCTTGAGGATCGCTATCTCATACTATTGCAGGAATTATCTCATACAATTTGGTACCGTCTGTGGGAAACGAAGACATTTTTTTCGGTAGCGATCATCTGATGGTGAATACTCAATCTCAGGGTGAGGGAGCAAGTGTACAGACCAGAAACACAGAGTCCGGTCCAACTTCCAATGGTTCAGGAGCCGAGTTCATTGGGCCAATTAGATGGGGTTGGACGTTCTTCGCAAAGAACACTCCCTATGGATCAGGGCCTTGGGGGGCGTGACCTCATGACCCATGACATCGTTGAAATGGTGGAAAAATGGATGGACAAACACATTAAGCAACTTGAAAAGGAAAATGCCAAGATTCAGCAACGTCTTGACGATTTTGAGCTGTCAACGAGCACAGGTGAACATAGTCGCGGGTTCAGGGACCAGGTGCCTAGCCAGAACCTGTCCAGGCCCCCCTGGCATTGGCCCTCCATGAAAGATTGGATTAGGCACTCGTCCGAGGGACGTAACCGTTAAGGAGGGTTCTCGACCTCCAAGGGGAAGTCAGAATTAGGCCAAAAGACAAGCCTGTCCAGGTGGGACCTGCACCGAGGGATACCCGAGGGCGTGGAAGTTGTTGAATCACAAATAGAGTCCACACCCCGAAGGCCTTGAGAAGAAAGATCAAAAAAGGATCCCAGGGTCCCCTTCGTTGCTCAGTGCAACCATGAGCCTGAGGTCTACTCTGAAGAAATTATCTCACCGTTCGTCCAAGCTATTAAGGAGGCCGAGATACCAAAGAAGTTTACCGTCCCATGGTTCAAAGTCTATGATGGAAAAATCGATCCCGAGAGCCACCTTTGACAATATAGACAATTGATGTTAATCTATGATACTGACCAAAGGGTGTTGTGTCAAGTTTTTCTCATGAGCCTAGGCAACACAAGCATGAGGTGGTATAAGAACCTTGCTCCTGAGAGTGTTAGGTCCTGAAAACAATTGACGAAGCTCTTCATAGCTTGATTCATCACCAGCAATAAGAAACTGAAGGACATCGGCACTCTGTTGATACTTAGGCGAAAAGGGGGAGAGACACTTCGACAATATGTCATTCGATATTGGGATGAAGTGAACGAGGTGGAAGCATGTTTGGAGGCATTGGTCGCAGCGTCATTTAGGCTGGGGGCTGTCCCGGGACACTGATTTGTACAAATCGCTGACTAAGAAGGCTCTGGTGGACATGAAAGACTTGATGGCTCGGATTAACAAATATGTTCGGGTGAAAGAAGAATCTGTCGCGCCCGAAAGCAGGGTCACGATGCAAAGGAAAAGGGAAAGGGAGCAGTCGGCTCAAAGGGGAGGGCTTGTTCCACCCCTAACTCGCCTATCCTTCCAGGAAGTGAACACGGTCTTCAACGAACCCATTTACAGGATACTTCCCAAAATCAAAAATAAATCCTACTTTAAGTGGCCCCTGAGGATGTTTGGAGACCCGTCAACAAGGAATGCGGCCTTCTGATGTTCGTATCATAAAGATATCGGTCATTTAACGGAGGATTGCAAGGTTTATAAATCCTTCCTCGAACAATTGGTGCGAGACGGACACCTCAGAGAATTCATTGACAAGGGTCATCCCGGCGGGTCGACGAGGGAGGGAGTCGAGGTGCCAACTGAGGTAGCACACGTGTTTGATGTTATTCATACTTGCACAGTGGGGAGACCTACATACAACTCCCTCCGTGTCGAGTTACAGAAGGTCTCTCAAACAGTTAGGGTGGAAGAAAGAGATGATGAGCGACCGCCTAAGAAGTCGCAAAGCAGTGCCGAAGTTATCCAGTTTTCTGATGTTGATCTCGGCGGGGTGGTCCTCCCTCACGAGGATACATTGGTGATCACTTTGCGGGTCGGGAAGTTCGACGTTAAGAGGATCTTGGTGGACTCGGGGCAGTTCTTTCGAGGTGATGTACGATCACCTCTTCCGCAAGATGAGACTCTCTCAAGGAGATTTGGAACCCGTAAAAACCCCCTTCATCGACTTTAATAGTTCCAGCGTCCTGTCCCTTGAAAAAATCACCGTCATGGTACGGGCGAGGGTGGTGACCACGCTAGTGGAATTTGTGGTGGTGGACTCCGACTCTCCTTACAACGCTATTATGGGGGAGATCGTAGTTGCATGCAATAAAGGCGGTCCATTCATCCTATCACCAGAAGATAAAGTTTCCAACACCGTAGGGTATAATGAAAATCTGGGGTGACCAGGCGTTGACAAAAAACTGTTTCGATGCCGCGGTGAAAATGGGAGTCAGCGGCTGAAGTCAGGAACGTGATCCCAATGCGGTGGTTGCCAAATAGCAATCACAAAGTGGTCGTTCGGGAGTGGATGAGCCCATTACAGAGCCGATCGACCGGCCTACTGAGGCCTTGGTGAAGATTTTCCTGAGCCCAAATAACGGTGAGAAGTACTTTTTGGTAAGAGAGTCACTCACCGACGCAGAGAAAAATGATATGACCTCGTTTTTACACTACAACGCCGATGTCTTTGCTTGAACCTAGGCCAAAATGACGGGAATAAGTGCCGAGGTGATAACTCATCGGCTCCATGTGAATCCCTCATTTAAACCCATTAGGCAGAAGGCCCGGAGAACGACGCCTCACCACACGAAGGTTGTGGATGAAAAGGTGGATAAGTTGTTGGGGGCAGGTCCATCAAGGAGATATAGTTCCCCTAGTGGTTATCCAATACCGTGTGCGCCAAGAAGAAAGAAGGAAAATTATGAGTTTACGTGGATTTCACGGACCTAAACAAGGCTTGCTCCAAGGATAAGTATCCCTTGTCAAAGGTTAATCAGCTGGTAAACACCACAGCCGGCCACAAGCGCATCACTTTTATGGATGCTCGGGCTGGATATCATCAGATTTCCTTGCATGAATCAGATCAGGAGAAAACGGCGTTCATCACGCCCCGGGAGATCTACTGTTACACAGTGATGCCTTTTGGATTGAAGAATACTGAGGCGACCTACCAATGTTTGATGAACAAAATTTTTAAAGACCAANTAAGGAGGGTTCTCGACCTCCAAGGGGAAGTCAGAATTAGGCCAAAAGACAAGCCTGTCC